AATTAAACATTTCGATACAAATTGCATGCTATTTCTTCTTGGCTCTATTTTCTGTTACTCTGCAATTATTTCATCTTAAAAGCTAAGGATTTTCATTTATTCTTCCAAATCTGCTGGTCCCAGCCTCTTTCAGATGTAGGAAGTGGGCTTATATAAAGGGTAGGGGCTTCCTGTTTACCACTTGAGGGTGCTCAATTCACCTTATAGGAAAAGCTGGAGCCTCAGTCATTTCTACTAACTCATCTCTTGCTGAGTCTAGTGATTTTAGCCTCTCCTTTGTCCCTGTGTGTGCTAGATAATTCCTAAAGGGAGGAGGGGTGTGGAGCTGCTTCCTTGAAAGTATCAGAACTTGCGTCTTGTGCATTGGTACATTTGATACAACAAGGTATCGTGACACAAGGGGGATGGGCCAGGACGATAAAAATGCTCCAGGAGGTCTCCTCAGCTTGCAGGGAGGCACTAGATGACAGTGTGCTGAGCAGGACCGCTGGGAAGACATGCACGCCTTCTTGACTCATCAACCTGAGAGTCTACTGCCTTTCACCAGAGTTGGGCAGGTACACAGCAGACCACAGTGCCTGCATTTTGCCTCCGTGGTCCACACTCGTGGCCCTAGAGTTTTTCCAGAAACCAAGTGAAAAATTTACTGCACCATAGACTTTGAGGTCTTGCTCTCCAGGCAGCCAAGGGGGACCCATAGGTGGATGACAGAGGTAGCTCCGTCCTTCCCAGGCCGTGGATGACTCTACCTACCCTGTTTTCTTTGTGCATATGTGTCCCACTAATCAAGGCCTAGTAAGATACAAGGGCCTCAGAGGAGGCCAGAGGAAACTCACCCTTCCCTCACCTCTGGGGCTCCCATGCCCAAGGTAGATGAAAGGGACAGTAAGACATAGGTCTGTGAGGCCTGGGCTCGGGTTTCCGGGGCTTCATATGTTCTTGCCCCAGTGACCCCCTCCCCCAGTAAGATAAACAAGGCGTATACAGAAGAGATGCCCTGCTGTGGCTGTCAAGTTTCACATCTTGGATGCTGTAACCTTTGGGGGAAACACGCACTGGAGACTGGTAGTGGTGCACACTGGGAAATTGTACAGAATACCTTATCTTCATAGAAAGCCTGGATGAAAAGAAAAAAAAAATGCTGCTGTGTGAGGGCAGACAAAAAGTTCCTCAAGACCTACTTCCCTGAATAATCTTTCTTTGGAAGCAGCACATTCGTGGTAGAAGCCTTTTAAATTAAGGTCATCTCAAGCACCAATGCTTTGACTGTCCCTCTTTTACTAATGACTGTCATGCGAGCTCAGGGCCCTCCCCGACCTCCTGCTGTTAGGGAGCAGATGAAGGTGTTTACTAGGGAAAGCAGCTTGAGGCAGGGTATGAAGAATTTTTGTACAGAACAAGGTAGATTTATCTGTGTGTTGGCGGACAAATTCATCAGATTTTTGGTCTCCCCTTAAACGCTGTAGCCTCCAGTCTTTTGCTATCCCTTTGCTATTTGTTTGCCAACATATCTCTTATAGGTTGTTGTGTCTTTAACAGTGTTAGCTCAGGCACTCATGACACTCACCTTGTATTCGTCTACTCAGTGTCAAGTGACTTCTTAAATACCGTACAAGTGGACTGCAGGCTATCCCAGCCTGACTCAGCAGTGTCAAGTGACTTCTTAAATACCAAATACCGTACAAGTGGACTGCAGGCTGTCCCAGCCTGACTCAGCAGTGTCACCGCCCTTTCAACTTCACATTAAAGAACATGTGCCTCTTTCCTAGATAATATATATATGGTAAAGCCAAGTGTGGTGGCACATTGCTGTAACCCCAAAATTTAGGTAGGCAGATAGTCAGTTTGTGCCTAGCCTGGTCTACATAACATGACCCTAACTCATTAGTAAACAAATAAGCTTTTATATTTGAAGTCTTTCATGACAGATTTTTGAAATCCTCTTAGGAGAGTTACCTTGAGAATTATGAGTTAGCTACAACTTCAGTGAGCAGTGGTTTGAAATGACAACCTTCCTACTCTGTAAACCAGATATCAAATACCCCTGTAGTGCAGGGGTATAAAAGCTGAAACAATCTGAACAAGACAGACCCTGAATGTAGCACCTGGGAGAAGTGGCTGGAAAGCCCCCTGAATGAGCAGGTAGGCCTCTCCCTCAGGTAAAGTTTCTCTTGGCAGATGAACAAATAGGGCAGGAGGACATAGGCTGTGGCGACTTAGAACAGCTGGGGCTGTAGAAACTTCTAGGAGGCTGGAGGCTGCTTGCCAGGTCTTCACAGCACCTGTGTGTCTGTGGAGACAAGAGCTGTACTTTCCTTAACCAGTGCCAGCTGTGATCCTGAAAAGGCTTGGAACGTAGCTCAGTGCTAATCAAAGAAACTGTGAGCTGGAGCCATCAACATTGAGCAAAGGATCAAAGATAACGCTCTGAAGAAGGGGAAATCACAGTACTGAAGTAAATGAAGAGTCACAGTCCAGGACGATGTCAGAGTAAAGGGGCCTGGGAACTCAGAGAAGAGGGTTTTGGAGAAAGGCAGCGGAGGTAAGAGAATTGAAGTACAGCAAGGGCTAGAACCACTCTAACTTCTATTTATAAATCTACATTCACACATATTCATAGACACCCTGTTTGTACCTGGTAGGAAGCAGGCACAGTTGTAGGCCTGGATCCTGGTTTGCTGACTCACAGAGCAGGGCTTTTCACTTACCCATAACTTCTGCCTGGATCTCAGGTTGTATGTCCTGACTGCCCTATCTGGCATCAGAATGAGACTAGGCTGAGCCCACAGATTCCTGAGATTAAACACCAAAGCTTCCTCTGAGATCTGAAAGAAAACAGTAAGTCACGCAAGAATTGCCAAACTGGCTTGTGTGATTAAATCCCCAGATGCTAGCACCACTTAGCATTTGAAAAGCTTAGGACTTAAGCAATTTGTGTTGACCTTCAGCCAAGAGAGTTATGAAGAATATAAACTATTAATAATGGAAATAGTTTTCCTTCTGTATCTGTTGAATATATCAAGATAGGGAGAAGTTGGGGAGTGGTGGGACTGGGCCAAAGTAGGAATGGCATGGAGTAAGGGGAAAAACAAGCCGATCCCACTAGGAGACTTGCCAGACACCAGCTCTCTTGGCACACAGGAGCTAAATCAGGACAGAATGAAGCCTTTCATTCTACCTGATGGAAGGCTGTCCAGGCCCCATTTGCACCAAATGAATTATGTTTTGCCTGGACGTGTCCCCTTTCAGGAGGTTCTGCTAGTTTGGGGGCAAGTTGAGCAAACTAAGGAATCTTTTTGGCTTCAGCAGCTTGGGCTTGGAATCCTTACCTGTGCTGATGATGGCAGGAGCTGGTGCTTATATTGCCAGATCCTCTTGCCACCACTTAAACAGTCACTCTAAAATGGCAGAGGGGACTGTTATCATTCTCTCTTTGCAAATGAAGCAACTAAAGAACAGAGTAAGAAGTGAGTTTGTCCTCCTCAGAAAGCAAACCTACAGTGCAGCCAGGTCTGATGATGCCTCATTGCTCTCCAACTGCAAGTCTTCTTTCCTAGCATGCAGTGCTGCTGTTCCAGCGCTAAGAAGGAAGGAACGAAGGAAGGAAGGAAGGAAGGGAGGGAGGGAGGAAGGAAGGAAGGAAGGAAGGAAGGAAGGAAGGAAGGAAGGAAGGAA